CAAATTATATTTAATAAATAGCATTGTAATTAAACTGACAAACTTTCAAATGATACTTTTCAAAGAATTCTGCTATCTCTTTGAAAATATAGTATATATTACAAAAAGTAGTTTTGTTACAACAAAGAGTAGTTACAAAACAATTGTACAAACTTTAGTTTTGTCTAGGATATACAAAAAGTAGTTTTGTCTATGATATCCTTTAAGCTTTGTGTTTTTTTCTTTAGAGAGAACTCAGTTCAATTCAAATCTAGTTAGATATTTCTATGCAGGTTAATCACATTTTCTGTTCATATTACTCTTGTCTCATCTATATTTATAAATCCAATAAACAAACAGTTTCTTTTTGTTTGTATACTTTGTATACTTTTTACTAAAAAAAACCTTTCAAACCAGAAGGTAAAGCTAATTTCTATTATTCAAGAAAGGAAAAAAGAAAAGAGAAAGCAAACAGTGCAGGAGAAAAAATATTGAAGAAAAATAGAAAAGAAAACGCATAAGACTTTCCAATATTCTTCACAGCAATTATAAGTGTATTTTGTATTTTGACCTCTTTCTCTAAAGTCATACCATCTTACTCTTCTTTATATAATCTATTCTATCTAATCATCAAAACCATAAGTCACAACTTCAGTTTTTTCATTGTCATGCAAAAAATCCATAAGTGTGATCCAGTTAGCAATAAATATAAAAAGATTCTTTTCTTTAATCAAAAAAGTTAATTTATGTATTTCAGCAAAATTTGTCAACATTGCTAATCATTCCTCCATAGCAAATAGTGTTGACTCTTTCCATCTCTGTACCTAGAGTAATTTCATTGCTGTGATCATATATTGCAATAATCTTCCATGGTTTTTTTTTTTTTCTCCTTAATTGTTTATCCATTAATCTTAAACAAAAAGTTCTGGCTTCAAATTAACATTTTTTTTAAAAAAATGCTCTACATCAAAGTATGCATTTGAATCCATTTTCTTTTTCTTTTGGATTTTTTATATGTCTACCAAGCCAATAACCAAGCAATGTTGAAGGAATTAGTAAGAGTATCTCTTAACTGTTCCATTCTATTAATTTTTCAAATTGCAAACATTCTTTCCATTTTTCTATGATTTTCAGCCTTATGAATCAGAATAAGAAACCACAAGCATTTTATGGAGATATCTATCATCCTTCTGTCTGTCTGTGTATCTCAGAAAAACAGCTTGCATTTTGTTTGAAATGAATAAGTATTTTGTCAATTTAGTTTATAGACTAGGCTGTATTATATCTGGCCTTTTCTAGGGATCCTTCTCTCAATTCAGTTTGGTGCTAACAATATACATTGCCATTATTTTTCCTAATCATCTTTTTTTTTTATATATAGCAGTCTTACTACTCATTGCCCTTTTCATTCAGCAGGAAAAAAAATGCATGACAAGTTCACCATGTTAATTAGCTCTATTTCTCTCTGTGTATAATTCAGAGAGAATTATTCTATCATGTAATCCAATGATTCTCTCCATTACTGAGACGTTGAGATCTGTAATAGATGTTCATTAAACACTTTGAAGTCTTTTTTCCTCCTCTCTACTTCTAGGAATACTTTCTGATTTATTAATTTACTTGAAAAATAATGCTTCTTATTGTTGTCCAACTTTTTTTTTAAAAAAATCTTTAAATAAAAAACTTACTGGATCAATAGTAAACAGAAACAATTAGATAAGATTTCCTCCTTCTCATTTCTAAGAATATTATCAGTGATATTTTATGCTGCTGAGGTGTGCAGCTATAAGCATTCAAAATTCTACATATTATAGATGGAGAGTGTAAAAAGGTGGCTTACTATGTAAGCCAGTGTAAAAAGGTTATCTACTATGAGCAAGAGTCAGTATGTTTCATTTTTGAGGATAAATATTTTTTGACAGGGGGCAATAAATCTGAAATGGATAAGGCTTGTCCTCCCCTCACCCTTATTTTTCAAGTGGTTTAGTCACCTCCACTCTAAAGATTCTATTCACCTGTTCCTTTTCCTTTTTCCATTCCCACCGACATGTTTTAAGAAGTTCAGCTGGAAACTTCTGTTCATTGTCTACATGCATGATCCTAGTTGCGCCTGTGGTGTCCAGATAGCATTTTCTGGGAGCTTATGTTTTCTTATACTCTCCCAATAATAGAGTCCCACTTATATATGCCTCAATGTATTATTTTTAGACAATTTAAACACACATACACACCCAAGGATATCTTTACCCATCTCTTATCCTCTTTTAGCATTCCTGTTCCACATTTCACTACCTTTCTTCTACCCAGCATTCCTTGCTCTTCTTCCTGGAGTCCTTCTTCCTATGCTTCTCCTTCACAATAGTGTGGAATGCATAAAATGGTTCTTGAACTACAATGCTTTGTTTATAACTTTACTGTATAGTTTTTAATTGTTTACTTTGTTTTAATAGTTGCATTGTTTGTAATGATGCTTTTGTGTGTGTGTGTGTGTGTTTGTGTGTTTCATTATTTACACTTTAATTGGAAGCTCCGGAGAGTCACAAATGTGAGATAGACAGCTATATCAATTGAATAAATGAATTAATAAATAAATATTGGAGTTCTATCAGACCATACCATTCTAACAATGGGATTTGGAGGATGACAACTCTATAAAGTTGAAGCTGCAGCATTTTTTAAAAAATTCTCTAGCCTGCATTTTTTTAAACTTGAAGAGTGCAGGTGGAAGGTGCAGGTGGAAGGGATTAAATGGTTTCTCCTTCAAGACTGAATTATATTAACAAGCACACTGATAGACAATTAGCAATATAAATATCAATTATCTATGACTCAGGTGAAAATTTATTTTTTATGTTCAAGTTGTTATTTGGAACAATTTAACATCAGTATAAATGTATAATATTCTGAAAGCAATTTTTTTGAGTGTATAGATAATCAAGCAATTTTTTCAGTGTTCATAATGGAAAGAAGGAGAACGAGAATGAGAAGCTTTTCCTTGCCTTTTCAACTTCAACCTGAGAGTGTTTGGACATCTTTGCAAGATATAATTTTCTACAGTTCAAACGTAAGTCAATTTCATTTTTCCGAAGTATGCCAGTTGAATGTAGCTCTCTGCATTTTGCATAACAATTTAATCGCCCTTTATTTTTCTTCATTGATTTGATAAAGTGCAGCTGTAGATTCAGAAAAAAAGGGTTTCAGAATTATGTCAACTTGAAATCTGGCACAATTGCCTTTTACAATCTCTCTCTCACTCTCTCATATCCTATTACATGGTTTGTCAATCCGTTCTCATACCTCTACCTTTTTGAAGCTGTATCCCTGCACAGTTTTCTTCATTTTCTTTCTCTGTACAATGTTTTGTCAGCAAAGGCAGTATAAAGTACTTGTTCAATTTAGAAACAGTTTTTGTCATGTTCTGAATGTATTGCTATTTTGAGTTCCATACTGTGAGATATTTTCTCTCACATCTTAGTGCCCTAGGCCCAAATCTTTACATATTTTAATGCTTCCGTATAGGTTATTGTTGCCTCTCATTACTATTTAGATTCTTCTGTTCTTGTATTTGAGAAACCTGAACTGCACATTATTATGCAATAATAATGACTTTGGGCTATTTTGAAATCCTTAGCATTAAGAAGAAAAGAAATAATTTACTGAAGACCTTTAAAGTTTTTTTTTTTAATTGAAAGGAGAACACATGCCCACACTGCATTTTTTTTACAAGTAATGGCAGCTCTATATGTTTTTGTTACATGGTAGATGGACTTTAAGCAGTTTTCCTTCCTTCTGCTATCTCACCAAAAGCAAAACCATCATATTCTTTTCCAGAGCAATCCATGATGGACTTTTTTCAGATCCCTGATTAGAAGTGCAATACTTATAGCTCAAATATTAATAAATCCTTTCTTCAACATTTTTAATGCCTTCATGCCAAATAATTGTTTGCCTGTTTGATTGATTTTTATCCTGCCTTTATACTTTTTATAAGTAATGCAAGGCAGCAAATGTACATCATAATATCCATTTCTCCACCAATTTACCTCATAACTACAATCTTGTGAGGTGAATTTGAAGGGGTGAGAGGAAGAGGGAGGGAGGGAGGGAGAGAGAGAGAGAGAGAGAGAGGGAGGGAGAGAGAGAGGGAGAGAAGGCACCCAGCTTCTCACATTCTATACTAGTGTCTTAATCACTGGGGCAAACTGACTATCCGGTTGATAGGATATGTATATGGATGAACAATATATCCATCTTCTCTGTTGTCCATTTTAGATTTTGGATTTAGTGGCCTTCATTGACTCCCTTTGTCTGTTATTATCTCAAAATGAAACAAAATAGTCCTGCTATATATACGGTAAGCTCTTATTTCTGCATAGATCTTCTACCTCACATATGAAGTACCATTGTCCTCCTCTGTGGCATCCCACCACTCTCCTTCATTTAGAGTTTAGTGGTGGAAAGAGTCTTTTTTTTTTTTTTTTTTTTGCCAGAGAAGACAATACTTCTTATTGTTTGAGACAATTTTGAGTGTTTTATCCCTTTACCTTTGATGGAGAAGTTATACATAAATTTATTTAATTAGGAATTATTAATTAACAGTAAAACATAGCAATGATTTTTCCCAGTTTACTTTTTTCTAAATGTGCTCGTATTCCCAAAGATTCTTCATAGGAAATGATTTGCAACCACATTAACATTTTTACTAGGGCTCACAAATGTCTGGTGTCTGCATTAATAATAGTACAATTATATCTCATTAAAATACTAAGCAATAGTAAACAGGGAAAGAAATCCAGAGCTGCCTATTCTAATCAGTGCATTATATTTTTTATTAACAGCTTTGGAATGGAAGACTGCATTCAGAGGCAAATTGCATATTAGTTTGATTGCACTGTTAAATAAGTAATAGACAAAACATGAATATTGCAATATTTGCCATTCATTTAGTTTAACCTTAGAAATATCAGAGGATTAGCATATCATGGAATTAATATATATTAAAAGTTACAAAGCAGAAATCAGACATAACATGTCAGTTTCAGTCTTCATAATGATATTACAAATGATAAGACAAATTATTATGTCTGCCATTATTTCCACTAAGCAGAATACTGGAGCTGAAAAGTCAGAACACCAGAATCCTGGAAATAATATAAACATTCCATTATGACAAAAAGATGGGAGTAGAAAATTCCAGATCAGACTTCAGAGAGTTCTAGAGATTTTTTGGGGGTGGGGTGGATTATGCTTTCAGATCAGTATTGATTTCTGGAAACTGCCTGGACTAGGCTGTGCAGTTTTTAATGACAAGACTTCAGAAGTGGTTTGCCAGGTCTCTTCCTAAGGTTGAGAAAGAGAAAGACTGGCAATCTACTTTCTGTCCCACTGCCTTAACCACTACACCAAATTGGCTCTTGCTATATTCATTGATTCCATAGAAGCTGATGTTGATCATTGACAAGGGTATCGGGGTAAAGGATTTATCTCAGCAGATATGAAAAAAAATGGAATTGTTTTGACCATGAACCCCCAAGTAAAATCAGGTAAAAGGTTTTTGTTTTGTTTTGTTTCAATTTGATGGATAAAATTGGTTGACATATGGAGATAGAAAAATGGCAATTCAATAGAGTATATTTATTTGCCAGACAGCTAGAAAAAAGTCATGGAACTTTGTTGTATGTATGATAAATGCAGTGACATTATTATATGCTTAAAGTGGAAAAAATCAACACTACCTACAATGGAGGAATGGTTGGTAAATACAATGGAATTGGTAGAGATGACCAAAGTGACTTTCTTAATTAGAGAGATAATATCTATATTTATTGCTGACTGGAAACCCCTTATAAGCTTTTTGCATGAAACAGAAAAAGAATGATCTAATAATTTAAGGCTTAGATGATTTAAAAGAATGTGTTAGGAAAAAACTTTTTTTTTCTTTTTGTAACCATAGAGTAAAAGATAATTTCCTGACTGTATTTACATTTACTGCAGAGAAGATTGTAAGCTACGTTCTATTACTTTTCATAATTTTTTTCACCTTTTGTCTTTTCCTTTTTTTCCCTTTCTTTCTTTACTTTATATTAGCTATTGTAAGTTTTTATCTGATTTTCAAAAGTCTTAATTAAAAACTAGGGAAGCTAGTGCAACATGCTAGGTATGCAATTAGGGAACATAAATTAAACCTAGCTTACTTCACAGGGTCAGCGTGATTATAAATAAATGAAGTAAGAACTGCAAAGTACATTTCAACACTTTACACACCACTGAATATATTTCAAAATATCTTGCCAGGCTTGTTAATAAATAGTTACATGTATACCATGGCCTCATTAAGTCTGCAACCATTTTAATGTAAGTTTACTGAATTCAATGGTATATAGTTCTGATTTGATATGTGTACAAATTATGGTTAAAATGCAACTCTTTGGAGAATGGTGGGGCGGGGCAGAGGGAATGGGAGTAGAGGGCAGGGACGCCTCACCCGCTATATCCAGGTGGTGGCACATTCCCGCACCTACTGCTCACGCTGCTTCCCTGTGGGTGCGAGAACGGGGGACCCTGGACTCCGGCTGGTGTATGTGAATGCCAGGTCCATAGCTAAGAAGGCCCTCCTCGTACGAGATCTTATTGATGAGGAGGGTGCAGACCTGGCTTGCATCACGGAGACCTGGCTGGGGCAAGAGGGGGGTGTCCCTCTCTCTGATTTATGCCCCCCGGGCTTTCATGTGCTGCACCAGCCATGATGCAGGGAAGGGGCGGGGAGTGGCGGTGGTTGTTAGAGAAAGTCTTAGTCCTAGGGAAGTCACTGTCCCTCAGATAGGCGGGTGTGAGTCTCTCCTATTGAAATGGGACCCTGGAGTTCAGTTGGGTTTGTTGGTCATGTACCTATCTCCCAGCTGCGTGGCCACAGCCCTGCCCGCACTTCCCAATGTCTTGGCCGAAGTGGCAGTTGAGCTCCCCAACCGTCTGGTTGTGGGAGAGTTCAATCCTTCTTCGATCGGCGAGACATCAGAGACAGTCTGGGAGTTCATGGCCTCCATGATGGCCATGGACCTGATTCAGGTGCTTCAGGGCCCAAGTCATAGGGGAGGTCACACACTTGACCTGGTTTTTCTCTCTAGGCAGTGGATAAATGGTTGGGGTAGGGGGGAACTCTCCATTGCCCCTGTGTCATGGATCGACCATTCCCTCCTTAGACTGGACTTTCAATCCACCAACCCTCGCCGCTGGGAGGTGGAACCGGTAAAATGGTTCCGCCCCAGGCGCCTGATGGACCCAGAGAGGTTCCTGATGGAGCTTGGGACATTCCCTGCTTCCCAATCCCACAATTCGACTGAGGCACTGGTAGCATCCTGGGAATGGGCGGCTGCTGGCGCCTTGGACCGAATCACACCTTTGCAGCCTCTGACCTGACGCAGATCCTGGGTGGTTCCCTGGTTCTCCATGGAGTTCCGGGAAATGAAGCGTCGGAAAAGACGCCTAGAGGAGTGTTGGAGGTCCTCCCGGTCTGAATCTGATCGAACACAGTTAAGAACCCATATTAGGTCTTATCTTGTGGCGATGGAAGTGGCGAAGCGGGATAACTTCGCCGCTCTCATTGCATCTGCAGAAAACTACCCAGCAGCCCTGTTTAGAGTGACCCACTCCCTCCTCAATCAGGGAGCAAGGGAAGACCCCTTACAGGGCAGAGCTGAGGATTTTGTACAGTATCTGCATGATAAAATCGCTCAGATCCAGATTGGATTGGACTCTGACTGGGCAGAATCCACTTGGGAGACTGGGGTAAGTCTTGGGAGCAGCATCTGACTTGAGTTTGACTCTGTTTCCATCGATGAAGTGGACAGGATTGTGGGTAGACTGGGTGCCTCCACAAGTTTGTTGGATCCGTGTCCCTCCTGGCTTGTCTCAGCTGCCCAGGAGGTGACCGGAGACTGGATCCAGGCAATTGTCAATGCTTCTTTGAGGGAGGGGATCATCCCTGCCTCTCTTAAGGAGGCGGTGGTTCGACCCCTCCTCAAGAAGCCTGCCCTGGATCCAGACTCACTTAATAACTATCGGCCCGTCTCCAAACCTTCGCCTTATAGCGAAAGTTGTTGAGACCATGGTGGCGCAGCAGCTCCCACAGTTCCTGTAGGAAACGGAGTACTTAGACCCATACCAATTGGGTTTCTGGCACGGGCACAGCACGGAAACGGCATTGGTCACTCTGGTGAATGATTTCTGATGGGCCCAGGATGGGGGTTGTTCCTCCATCCTGGTCCTACTTGACCTCTCAGTGGCTTTTGATACCATCAACCATGGTATCTTACTGCAGCAATTTAGGGGGTTAGGGGTGGGAGGCACTGTTTTACAGTGGTTCTCCTCCTACTTCTCAGGTTGCTCACAATTTGTATGGGCAGGGAAGCAGAGGTCCACCCTGAGGCCCCTGACTTGTGGGGTACCTCAGAGGTCAGTTCTCTCCCCCCTACTCTTTAACATCTACATGAAGCTGCTGGGTGAGATCATTCGTGGTTTTGGGGTGAGGTATCATCAGTACGCTGATGATACTCAGTTATACATCTCCACCCCAGGCCACCCCAGGAATGCCCTTTCTGTGTCCCGATGCCTGGAGGCGGTGCGGATGGGTAGGAACAGACTCAGACTCAACCCCTCCAAGACTGAGTGGCTGTGGATGCCAGCCGGCACCTCGTGTTCTAGAGGTCCCATCACTTTTGATGGGGGGGAGGTACGTGCCCCCGTTGAAAGGGCTCACAACTTGGGTGTCCTCCTGGATTCCCGATTGTCTTTAGAAGACCATTTGATGGCCGTGACCAGGGGGGCTTTTGCACAGGTTTGCCTGGTGCGCCAGTTGCGCCCTTTCCTGGACTGAGATGTCCTTCGCACAATCACTCATGTTCTGGTTACTTCCCACTTGGATTACTACAATTCCCTCTACATGGGGCTGCCCTTGAGGTGCACCTGGAGGCTCCAGCTAGTCCAGAATGTGGCCGTGCAGGTTGTTACAGGAGCTCCTCGTTACTCCCGTGTAACACCTCTTCTGCACGAGCTGCACTGGTTGCCAGTGGACCTCCGGATCTGCTTCAAGGTGCTGGTACTTACCTATAAAGTCCTACATGGCTTAGGTCCAGGGTACCTGCAGGACCATCTCCTGCCTGCCTCCCAAGTCCTGTCCACTCTCACAGGGCAGCTCTCCTCAGGGTACCGTCGACCAGACAATGTTGTCTGGTGACGTCCAGGGGTAGGGCATTCTCTGTGGGCGCCCCTACCCTCTGGAACGAGTTATCCACCGAGCTCCGGACGGTGCCTGATCTCCGTTCCTTCTGTCGAGGCCTGAAGACTTGGCTATTTCAACAAATGGGCTGATTCAGATTCTTGGGTTTTATTATTTATTATTATTTGATTTTAACTAGTTTTAATTTGGATTTTTATTGTATGTTTTTGCTTGTGTTCGCCATCCTGAGTCCTCTGGGAGAAGGGTGGCATATAAATACATGCAAATAAATAAATAAAAATAAATAAAGAGTAGCCTGATTCATTACAAAAATTGTATTTAAAATGGTTTAATAAATATTAGTCAAATTAAAGTGAACTCAGTAACAGATTCTGTTATAATCAAATTTGTATGCTCCAGGTTCAATGCAATCACTAATAAGATACCAACTGAACAGTGGTGGGTTTCAAAAATTTTTACTACTGGTTCTGTGGGTGTGGCTTGGTGGGCGTGGCATGGCTTGGTGGCTTGGTGGGCGTGGCAGGGGAAGGATACTGTAAAATCTCCATTCCCTCCCCAATCCAGGGGAAGGTTACTGCAAAATCCCCATTTCCTCCCGATCAGCTGGGACTTGGGAGGCAGAGAATAGATGGGGGTGGGGTCAATCAGAATTTTTACTACCAGTTCTCCGAACTACTCAAAATTTTCACTACCGGTTCTCCATAACTGGTCAGAACCTGTTGAAACCCATCTCTGCAACTGAATAATCATTTGAAGTTTAGTTTGCTTTCTGTTTTCTTCCCTTCCTTAATTTTAGATTTAGATTTGGATTGTAAAAAATTCCGAAACCAGAGCAGACATAAGCATCCTTTGGTCCTTCAGACAATGTACCATCATTCATTCAACCTCTGTTTACTAGGGCTCCTCCAAGCAACACCTTGGAGGGCTGTCTGTTTTCCCATCCTTAAGCTAATTAATGTTTCAGTAACTTTCTGGGTGTGATAGGATGTGAACTATGCTGTAGGAGCCTCAAGATCAGGGTCCTACAGATCTTCTATGATAATAGCAAAATATATTTCAATTTGTTTTATTATATATTGATGTTACAGCTTTGCAAATCTGCTTAATCTGAATATAATTTGGTAACCAAATCTACCTTCTTGAAATCAAACTTTAAACTTTAAAATTTCCTAAACCTGAACTAAATAACATTTCAATGACTTTCTGGTGGAGATAGGACTACAAATATTCTGCAGGAGTCTCAAAATCAGAATCCTTCCAATGAAGATGATAGAACTTGCTCAGATGGCCAAATTGACTTACTTAATTAGAGAAAGACAATATTTACAATGATTGCTGACTGGAACTCCTTATGGACTTTTTGTATAAAAGAGAAAATGATTTATGATATAGTATTTGGATGATTAGATAGGACAGATTATGGAAAGAAAAGAGTGTATTTATAAGTGTTGTAAAGATTGGGAACTGCTTCTTTTTTTTTTTTTATTCTTATGTTTACTTTTTCTTTCACGTACTTTTAGTTCTGTCTTCAATTTCTTCCTTTTTTTTCTTTTTTCTTCCTTACTTTATATTACTTTGTATTAGTTTTTACCTTTTTTAAAAAATAGTGCCTATAGGAATGTATGTATGTATAGATGAATGGATGAATAGACAGATTAAATGCTATATTATGTTCATGTATTATGTATGTATGTATGTATGTATGTATGTATGTATGTATGTATGTATGTTGTGGTCTGCCAGCAGCCTGCGGAGCTGGTAGCCGAGTCAGACAGTGAGGAGGCTGTGGAGGAACATGAGCCAGTCCTGGAGTCTGAGGAAGGCCCAGATGAGGGCTCTGCGTCGGAGGCAGAGATGGGGCCAGGGCCATCTGGGAGTGATGCACAGATTCCAGAGCCTCCAGATTCAGACAGCAGAGAGGCAGAGGAACAGGAGGAGCCTGTTCCTAGTGCACGCATGCACAGAGCTGCCAGAAGGCAAGAGCAGCTAAAGCAAAAGGGACAACTCGGGAGTAAGACCAGGAGATGATTGGCCCCTCCCATGAGGCTTAAAAGAGAAACAAAGGACTTGGGCCTTTTTGCAGGAAAGTAACATTGCTAACTCTGTTTCCAGTTGGCATCTCTTGTTTCTGAACTTTTTGGGGCTTTGCCAAGTAAGGCCTTTAGCAAGGTGTCAAGGAAGATAAAGGTTGGTGATTATCCTGAAGGACTTCTTCCAAAGGACTTGTTTTGTAACTAATTGGGACTCAGCTGGGAATGAATGTAATTCTCAGCTATTACAATAAAATAGGTTTATTTGGGACTAATTGTGTCTTGTAATAACTCAGTAAGCCTAGGTCACAACTATATATACAGTATATATGCTATTGTTATTCCTACACACACAAAGACACACACAGACACACACACACGGCACACTATATAAAAGATCAGTATCACCCAGATCTCCTATGATAAAAGCAAATCATGGTTCAAAAAAAATGATTTTGATGTTTCAATTTGGTAAATTTGCTCAGTCTGTTTGTAAATTGGTACTAGAATGTATCTTCATGTAACCAAACCTACACATTAAAACATACAGGTGCACAAGCAAATTTTGAATATAGAATAAAAACTTTACATTAGAACTAGACTAAGCATGCAATTTTATGCTCCTAAACCTTGCCACGATTTGAAAAGCAGCCAAGTAGTCAGACTGAGGTAAGAAATAAGTAAATTGGTTGATCACTGTAGCAAAACAGTTATGTGTTATGATGAACAGAACAATGGCCATTTTTCTCTCAAATATAACTAATTCCAAGTGTAACATGTTTAATGGGATTTACTTTATTCTCCTTTTGCTATTCTGATCCCATTAGATATCCCGGGTATGATACAGAAGGCAATACGCAACATAGAGAACCTCAGTATAGGCATTCTTGAATAGATGGGTAGCCATATAAATTGGATGGAAGGATAAATACATAAATAAAATCTAAATATTTATCTTTTTAATTTGCCATAATTCTCAAAAAATTATTAATTTGTACTCTTAACTTCCCATAATTCTTGAGCTTTGTGACAGTATAGAAAATTAAGACAATACCAGAATAGATGCACTTTGCATGATACCATGCTTTATTTAATTATTTGATACAATGTACTTATATAATACCTTTAGACACATAGAGAGACACCATTCAAAGAGAGAAAATGGAAAGAATGCAGAAAGGAGCAACAAAGATGATTAGGAGGCCGGAGGCTAAAACATATGAAGAATTTTACAAGATTTGGGTATGGCTAGTCTAGTGAAAAGAAGGACTAGGAGCGACACAATAGCAGTGTTCCAATATTTGATGGGTTGCCACAAAGAAGAATGGATCAACCTAGTTTCCAAAGCATCAGAAGGCAAGATAAGAAGCAATGGATGGAAACTAATCAAGGAGAGAAGCAATTTTAGAAGAACTGAGGAGAAATTTCCTGACAGTGAAAACAATAAACTAGTGGAATGGCTTGCTTTCAGAAGTTGTGGGTGCTCCATGACTGGAGGCTTTTAAAAAGAGACTGGACAATCATGGTGTATCGTGGTGCTTGAGCAGGTAGTTGAACTAAAAAAACTTCCAAGGTCCTTTCCAACTCTATTACTCTGCTAAAATTCTTCTGGTGACATAACCAAAAGATTATGGCTAGATCTTGTGAGATTTTAATAATTTTCAGCTTTTTTCAAAATACTTTCTGAAGATGGCAGTTATCTTGGGAAATTCATTGAATACATAATCAATTGTTTACATACATGTTATTAAATCACCAATTCTCATCCAAGTTCAAGGCAAAACTTTATTTTTGGGAAAGATGCAAGTATGATAAGAATCGATAATTTTTCCCAAATTGTGAGTTAGAAGTGGTTGACCTAATGACCTTTCTCTCTACGTAAGAGATAAAATACTATTGGCCACAGAGCTAAAAAGGCTAGGGGAGAACTGTGGATAAATAATACCAAACTATTTACATGACAATCTTTTCTGTCATATTTATCTATCTATATTGAAGTACATTTATCTGTACATATATTTTCCAAATGCTCGGATGCCAGAAATTTTCTCCAAGTGACATTTTACATTTTTAACTAAATGCAGTTTTACAGCTTGCCATGTATTCATCTCTGACAAGGAAATCTACAGCCTACCATTATAAATCCTTTATGATGACCCTGTCACCCATAGTATTCCTCTAATCATAGCTACAGCACTTGCTATTTGTGTCATTTGGAGAAATATATAAGACTATAAAAGTGAAGGTTTCCCCCCTCCCATTTCTGACATTATTCAGGAAGCTATAAAAATAATATTGAAAAGAATCCATGCAGAATTTCAAACTGCAGTGAATTAAATGTTGCTTTCCATTTGTCCTTGACTGGATTGGTGAACCAATGACCTTCATTCTGCAATCAGCAAATAAGATTGTGTTTCTTGTATTGCTTGTCTCGTCTCTTCTGTCAGTGAAAGCAAGGACTTCTTATGTTTTTTTTCTACGTCTACTTTATTAATAAAGTGAGCCCTTGATTTCATTTACGATCAGAATTATGATCGACACCCAATTTTCACAGAAAAAAATATCGGAAAAATATGTAGGATAATATATCAGAGAAAAATTTATAGGAAAAATATATAGGAAAAATCAGTGTCTGGTGAATTTCTTTGAAGAGTTTTGCATAGCCCTACCTTCCACCATACTATTCTCATTGAAATAAGTTAAATGTTTGTTTATTAGATTGATATGGTTGTCAAACTCATCATAGGTGACTCTGGACAGTGTACAGTAATGTAAAGCTATATATCAAAGCTAGCATTTGAATCTGGCATCCTGATACTGTACAAGAAAAAGCTCCATCTATTCAATTATTATAGATATTGCTTAGCACCAGTTCTCCTTAATTTCAGGCAGAAATATTCCAGACCTGTCTTAAAATAACTTGGAAATTTCTACCTACAGCACATGCAAGAAGGATCCAATGCCAGAAGGATCAGGCTACTGAACAAAGTTAGTTTTAATTTCCCACAATATTCTGGTGCTAGAGAAAATCAGGGAGCGATCCAATATATGAGATACACATGCCACATTTGGATATATATTCAACTTTTTGGTGCAGCAGATCAACCAACCTTACTTTTCTCAGGCTGTCTGCTTGGCAATTTTTCAATTATCAAGACTTAAGAACAAATGATTGCATATTTGGTCCAATTGCATTATTTTATGCTTTGGATGCTCATGACTTGCATTTAACTATACTGTTCTTTTTATTGTAGGTACAGTGTTTTTGTAAGGTTTTTTTTAAGAGCCTCGGTAACACAATGGTTAGAGTGCAGTACTGCAGGCCACTTCTGCTGATTACCGGCTGCCTGCAATTTCAAATCCCACCAGGCTCAATGTTGACTCAGCCTTCCATCCTTCCGAGGTGGGCAAAATGAGGACCCAGATTGTTGGGGGAAATATGCTGTAAAATCACTTAGGGAGAGCTGTAAAGCACTATAAATTGATATATACGTCTAAGCGCTATTGCTATTAGGCTTTGGTTAACTGTTTCTGTTCTGACTGTTTGATTTTTACTGTGAAGTTTACATAGAGTGAAGATGTCTTCCCATCTATATGTGAAAGAAGAATCAAATATACTGTATACTTGCAACATAAATAAAAAAGCAAATAATAGAAACTGTATGCTTACATAGACAGTCAGTTTGAAGTAGTGGTCAAGGCATCGGGCTAGAAACAGGAGATTGTGAATTCCATTCCCCCCTCTAGGAACGTAGCTGGTTGGGTGACCTTGGGCCAGTCTCTCTCTCTCTCTCTCTCACACACACAGCCCAAGGAAGGAGGCAATGGCAAACCACTTCTGAAATCTTTCCAAGGAAATTGCATAGAGTGGTACAGGCGGTCATCAATAGTCAACACTAAGGGACCAAAATGAATGAATATGTCTACATATATGTGGTCAAGTCTGGCAAAGAAAAGGGATCTCCTTCGGATGTGACGCCTTTTTTTTCTTTACAGAAGCGGCTCCAACCAATTTGCTCTCATTCTTTTAAGTTTTTTTTAAATGATTTAATATTGCATTAAATCATGGGATTTAATGCATGGGAAAAATACATTTGTGCTGAAAACATGTAGCAAGGCAGAGTCTACTTTTTATTAAAATGAATTAATAATGAAGTACTCAGAACACTACAGATAAGAATTGTGTATCACCTGAACACATCAACTTCAAGGTAATACCTTAGAGTAGATTTCCAGTTACTTGTTCAGCTGCAATACATTTTCCTTTTTTCTATTTCCACCCCCACTTGCTAAGAAAAGCCCAATGTCTATCATAGCGGTTCAAAACTAATTGTAGCACACAACATCTACTAAAGTATTAACAATGACACCTGTCTGTGAATTCCCACAAAGTAACAATTAGAAAATGTTCTGTTTACAAATGTGACTATTCTTAAAATGTTTTGCCAGGTGCCTGTTGCTGTTGTTGTTATTATAACTTTTTTGCCACTTTCTTGGAAAGGTTGTAACATTTAAAGAGTGTCAAAAGTCTTAGAAATTAAACTATATATCAGTGATGGTTTAACCTTTTCGATACTGAGTGCCGAAACTAGAGTGTGTGCATGCTGGAGCACCGGAACCTGGAAGAGAGCAGCTGGCTGCTGCATGCATGCATGCACCAGAACCTGGAAGAGAGCAGCTGACTGATGCGCATACATGCTGTCCGGCGTGCATGCGTGCACCAGAACCTGGAAGAGCAGCTGGCGATGGCATGCATGCCCACAGAGAGGGCTCTGCGTGCTACCTCTGGCATGTGTGCCATTGGTTTGCCATCATGGCTATATATACAACTAGGTTAGCATGCTTTTTTATGGTATGGGAAGAATAAGATACATAGTTACTTTCAAAGACATTATGTTAGAAATGCACTATTATCAGTATGGCTTAAAATTAAAAAACAACACTACTTGAAAATACCAGTCTGGCTTTCCACAATAGAAGCATTGATACTTCCTAATGGTATTAACATGGGAAAAAAAGTAAAATATAAAGATATTTTGAACAAAAAAGGGGAATTAAAAACTTGGTAATCAAGGGAAAGACATCACATGGTGGCCACAAATGCAGATATAATCTCAATATGAGAAAGATGCTAAAATGTATGCTTTCAATAGAGAGTTAACAGAATTGGACCAGATATTAAACAGAATGGATGAAAAGCTGATAAAGAAAATATATTGTTACTTATTAGGTATCAAACTTGAAAATGAGCAGGTAACGGAGACAATGATTGTTTGGGCTAAAAAATCTAGATTTGCAATAGAACTAGACAAAGGGCAGAAATTGTGGGATAGAAATGTTAAATTGACTATGTCAACTGCATATAAAAAAAAGATGGCATTTTGCACCAACAAGACTGTCAAAAATGTATAAGGATAGATCTGCTAAATGTTGGAAGTGCAACCAAATACCTGGTTCATATTACCATATGTGATGGACATGTCCAAAAGCCAAAAAATACTGGATGAAAATACATATGGTTGGAAAAAATGATAAAACAGCATATAGACATGAAACCAGAAATATTTTTATTGGGCATTTATTGGGCCAGAAAGATATGACAAAGGGACTGTATACTTCATTTGACATATATTAACTGCAACCAGAATTGAATATGCTCAACAATGGAAGTGTAACGAGATCCCAATAGATGAGAATGTAATTAAGAAAATATTAGAATGTGCAGATATGGATAGACTAACACTTACTATTAAGGACAAAGAAGAAACTGAATATTTTTTGACATGGGACTTATTTTATCAATGGTTAGACAATAAAAACAGAAGTTAGAAATGCAGGGACATAAAAAGGATAAATGTTAAAATGGAAAGTTGATAAAATAGACAAACAAAATATTATTGTTATTATAGTATCAATGTTATTGTGATGAATATTATGAATGTAAACCTTTTGATTACGATTGCCTAAAAACAACTGTACCCAGACAACACACTGTTCGATTGAAATGGAATTTTGATGTTATTCAAATAAAGTAAATAAAACATAAAAAAAAAAATCTTAGGAATTATACTGGGATATAAAAAATAAACTCATGAAATCAAGAACCAGTTGTTTGTTATTTCTGCTAGAAAAGCAGAATAAGAAAAGTGATCATCTTTATCATGTTTGTTATGGCTTCTTTATTGTTTAAGACATATACGGTAATAAGCAGAAAATAATCAGAAACACAGTGAGACAGAGAAAAAAAATCCATGCTTTGTAGAAAATATGCATTCAGGTATTCCATATAATTAGGCTTGCTTTTTTTTTTTTTTTTTACTAACTTTGTCAGTAAATTCTCCAAGTTAAACTAAGAATGCCATTTTTCAACACTTAATGAGCAATCTATTTTGTAACGTCCAGAAACTCTATTCTGCATTTTCCTCCCCCGGCCTTCAAATGTTTCCAATAAAAGAATTCTATACTATTGTTTTGGTTGATCTGTCAGGCAAGAGTTACACTTTGAAGTCATCTTTGTTGCCTCTGTGATTTGTGGGAATTTTTTAGGCATTTTTGTGTGGAAGGATGGCAGCAGGTTGGTTCCAGCCCAAAACACATCTAAATAAGAATAAGAATATAATGATAGATTCTAAATGGAAAAGCAACGGTTTATCTCATTAAGTGTTCCATTATTTTTAGGTGTATACTTTAAAAAAAATCTCAGCATACAGTATCTTGGGCAACAGGGAGTAATGGATTTTTTCTGCTGCACACATTTAAAAAAAAAAATTATTTATGAAAATATAAGTCCTTTTGAAATCCAGACAGTGCAGGTGGCTATAACAAAAGTTCATCTTGGGATAACTGTTCTGTGTCTTTGATTTATTTTAATACATCTATCTTTGGTTTATTTTTAAGCCATACAAAGTTGTTGTCTTTATGGCCTATTTCTCCATTTGTTGCCCTTAGGGAAATTTTTCTTTTTCATCATTATCATTTTCATCATCGTTGTTGTTGTGGTTGCCATTGATTAATAGTCAAGGCTATATACCGAACATAACAGAACCAATATACAATTAAAATTAATATAGGTAGCACAACGTTCAATAAATATATGCATTCTCATTCTACTTAACTATGTTTGTCATGATCCCGACTAACAAACCCAAGCAAATCTCTGAGGCTGAGGTCTTCTTCTAATAACTTCTTTATTGGGTATGTCATATTGACATGATCAAATGGAAAACCAACTCTAAATGTTTCCCACAATTTCAGTATAATTAAAATAGGAAATAACTCCTTCCCCCAAAAGTCACAGGTCACTTTGGCCCATTAGGTTAATTGGCAGGGTCTCCAGGCATTCCTTCCTGTCTCTATCCACCACTCCTAGAGATGACCTTGATTCTCACGAGAAAGTTCTATTTTTTGTCTAGCAACATATTTCATTCTTCTTTCCCCCTCCCTCTTCTATGTGGCAATTGAGGAATAGAAAAATGTCTTCTGCCATTTTTCAATGGCAGATTGAAAATTCTGCCATTGAAGATGTTTACACTGTTCTTCTGTAAAATCTGACACAGAATTCAACAAGCAATCAGAGTTTTGCAGCTTCATATATAATTCTAAAACCTTGATCCACAAGTAAGGTACAGACAGGATACTAATCTCCAAACCTTGGAAATGTCCTTTAAGTCAGTTCCAAGGCAACTTTGAACATTCACATCAGTATTCAGACAGGATGCATCCCATAAGCATAAGGGTTAACTACTATCTCTTTCTTGACTTTAATAAAGTCCTGATAAAACCATGCTTAAGGTTTTAAGTCATCTTGTTTTGCTATCTTTCTGCTGATGGCTTTTAAGAATAGATAAAAACCTTGGTCCAAATTTTTCATAACAAGTCAGTGTTTCCAGGCTGAGTATTTACCTACAATATTGGTTCTAACAGGAAACTATTTAATTGTATTCAACATCCCTGGTAAAAAAATATTATTATTATTCCTCATTGAGTGAGTCTAGTCTCAGAGAAAACTAAAATAATAGTCTAGATCCTGACTCTCTCTCTCTCTCTCTAGATGATAGATAGATAGATAGATAGATAGATAGATAGATAGATAGATAGATAGAAAAATAGATAGATAGATAGATAGATATTGTATATATAAAGTCAGACCACATACATAATTTATTATTTAAATGTTCTAATTGTCTAAATACTTTTTCTAATTTGACACATGAATTTTTTTAAAAATATTGTAATTGGCCTGCATTTCCTTCCTTCCTTCCTTCCTTCCTTCCTTCCTTCCTTCCTTCTCAACCTTAAACATAATCAAGGATTGCAACAAATTATATTGCCAAGAGCCACATAAGTACTCATTATAGCACCCTCCCACTATGTGCATTCCCTGAATTATCCTCCTTGGCAGTTCCCTTTAAAATATATTAATCCAAACTATTAAATACTTGGGCTAAACTACATCTGATACAATTATTTTTGTGCCTTGAAAATGTCTCACTAGCAGAGACTGAATATTGTTGGAATTTAAAGTTTATTGCATTTCATTTGCTTCTTTGTATCATTCAAATCACCACCTACTATTAAGCAATCTCATTATCAAGTTGTCCAAATAGGCCTTTAAAGAGCACCAATAACAATTAAATTGTTCTTGGGAAGTGAGTGACAAGAAGATATGCCTTCATTGATATGAGACAAATATGTTAACATTTAACAACTAGTGCCAGCAGGTTTCATGGGAGGGAGAAGAAGGCATCACAATTTAATGAAATGCAAAATGTAATGGAAACCAATCTTCTAGCCTTATACCCACTGGGCATAAAATACTTCATCCTCTCTTCATAAATTCCCAGTACATCAGGAAAATTGTGAAGATATTTTGCAAAGGACCCATGCCTCTGTCTATCTCTTCCTTTCTACCAAATATTGCCCTACATTGCTTTGAAAGAACGGAAGTAATATGTTAGATAACAAAAAAAAAAAAAACACCTTTCAAAAACATCATGTTACAGGAAAGGTGGTCATTTTCTGAGTCTTAACTCAGCTCAGACAATGATCTGAGTATTTTTCAGTTTTGATAATGGACACAGATGGTTCCCAAGACAATTAACTGGAAGC